TCAAACTGTTTTTATGTGTATTAACTTTTCACGTATCACAACGGTCAGATTAGTTTTTTCGTGCATTCGCATGTCTTCCTACATTAATTTTAACAGTTTTTTCGCTTGCATGCAGTTTTTTTTTTCCAGTTTTTTGACAGATTAATTTTTTTTTGTTAAAATATTTCTTATTTGTTAATATTTTAGTAATGCAGAGTTGAACTATTTCGTGGAGCTATAGCTCCTGGTAACTTTTTAGCAAGATCGCAGCAATGTTTCTACCTTCTATTATTTTATATCTTTTTGCAGCATTATGCGCAAAAATTTTTAAGACCAAATAGGTCTTACGTCTAATTACTAGTTAGCTTTACAATTTCTATTTCAATTATATATATATATATATATATATGTTGTATGAACTTAAATCCATTTAGTGCCAACTCCAGTCCCCGTTAAAACATTATTAACATTTTGCTTTCAAATTACTTCAAAACATCTTTCAAAATATAACTTACCAGTATGGATGCACACTTTTAAAATAATTCTACTTTAATTAAACTTAGGAGATAATATAATCAATTAATCAATACTGTTTAGGAAATAATTTATATATATATATATATATATTGTAGTAAGCTCGCCTAAAAGTTACCAAGAGCTACCAAGAGCTTTTCTTGACCAAAATTGTTATTACTGCTTTGCTTCATAAATTATATATATATATTATATATATATAATAATTTATTTCCTATATATATATATATATATATATATATAAGGAAATAAATTATTATATATATATATAATATATATATAATTGAAACAGAAATTGTTAGAACAAACAAATATTAACAGTTTATAGCATGTTTTTATTGATGTGGTACTTCGAAACATTGAACTATATTCTGTGGTGAATAGATTAACATTCTATCGTATCTAGTGTTATCAAGAGACACTGACGAAAGGCTTCTTCATCTGCATAGTGTTTGTTTGTCTTTAGGATCTTCGCGATCATTTTTTTAGTTCTGTTCGCCGAAAACATCATCTTTGCTACATTTTCAGGTAAGCACTGTTTATTGTACATTGCTGTGAATGATATCAGTAATAATTAATATGTAATAATAAAAGCATAATTTAAATGCTATGATCAAAAAGAAATACTGGCAGTTGATTAAATTAATACTGGAAGTCTCACTGCTTAGAAATTTTAATTTAGAGAGTCAGGTTTATTTGGTAGATATAATTCACTTTTTGTTGTTTTTAATGTTAAAAAGATAATGTGAAACAAGAATTGATTTTATGTATTTTACTGCAGTACTTTCATCGTGTTCATCTATTTTTCAAAATTATTCGCAAAATAATTACTTACTTCCATGCGTGGTACTTAGTGCCACATTATAAATGATGCAATACTTCCATAACCACGTTTTGGTGTATTACTTTAAAACGCTGAACTTTTCTACATGTTTCCTATATGTAAATTTCTGATATAAGTTTTAAAATTTATTATATCAGATCTTTTCTTTTCGCAAATTATGTCACACTTTTACGTATAATATATTTGTGTTGTTAAAGTAACTTAATTTCCTTATTAAGAGACTTAGTTAGAGAAAAATATTTCCTAGTTTAGGTCAAATTATTTGAATATGGCAAAACATACGAGGGCTGTCTACTTAAGAGAAGGGGTGCCTTTGTGGAGGACTTTCTAAGGAAACTCGTATTCACTTTATATATTAAGAAAAAATATGAAAACCTGTGCAAAAGTATTTGTTACTTGAGAGATTAAGAGAATATATTTATGGTATTATTTTTTTAAATAGATATATAAATTATTTAAATGATAACAATATAAAAATAAGGAAATTACATTCCATCGTTACTTATATATAAAGGAAATTAAAACTTCACTTGTGACAAAAGAGTATAAATTAATAGTAATTTGTCTCTAAAAGTACAAGTTACTTCATGTTATAAAGAAACCGAATTTCAGATTGTATTTTAAGAAAATTTAACCTATTGCAGACAATTTTATAAATGTAATGAAAATTACTATAAATCGAAATGTATATTTAAGCTTCACCGATAAAATATATTCGAAATAATAGTTTTATTTTAAATTAATATATTTCACTTCTGCAAACAAGATATTTTATTTTGTTATTATAAACTTAAACATTACATCTAACCCTCTAATTAGCTCTAATTTAATTATCTAAACTTATCACATCTAGTTTTGCTTTAATGTAGCATTTGCAGAAAATAGACATTGAAAAGATACTAATTTCTGCAATCGTATTTGAAAAGCTTCGAAAAATTAAGAAAGGAATCTTTCACAAAGGAATTTAAAAATTTCATTGTGATAACTTAGAAATTCGTATATTATAAAACACTGATGAGTTAAAGTAAAGTCTTTGCCAAACAGGGGAAGAAAAACTGATTTTAAGGTAAAATATAATTTAGACTTCAGTTCTTTGCCGCATTTAAATAAGCAAATACATTTGTTTGGAAATTTCATAACAGAAAGCCAATTCCTGGAGAGTCAGTCGAAGGTTCTGAAAACTCCGCATAATTGCGTTGTGGGACAAACAAATATTTCTTTTAATGTAAGAGAAGGAGTTTTATATTTTCGTTGTTTTTTAATTTTAACAAAAGTTGTAAAGTTGTTCCTACAAAATTAAGTAGTGAAATTACTTTTATTTGCATCATAAATACAGTCAATTTCAATTTGAACTTAAGTACATAACTGAAATTCAGTTTTAATTGCGTAGTTTCTAAAATGAAAGGCATAAACGTGGTTTCATATTTCATTGTTTTCATTTGTTATATTGAAGAAATCAAATAATATATTTCTTTTCAGTTAAAAGTATACTAAGGAAACTGTTTCTTTAATTCCCGTCTAGTGAAAAAACTATAACATCATTGCTAAAACATGTATTGATGCCTTTTTGGCATTTTAACAGTTTGAAATAATTTGTGATTTCAATAAAGAAATCAAATGAAAACTTTAAAGAAAATCCATTTAAAGAAAAATGAAGTACTTTAAAGAAAGTAAAGCACCAGGGTCTTATCACCAGGTTTTAATATGTGAAATTAATCTCATAACTACTTCTCCTAAACGTTTTTATTACGTTCCACATTCTCCAAATTCTTATACATACAGTATATGTGCTCCATTGTTTTTAAATGCCTGATTCACCCCAAAACGGTACAGCTCTGTGTTGTACAGATTCATTTAGCTCACATTAATAACTTTTTGAAAGTATGCATTGTAAAACATGATATCTTCATATCATTTAAATTAAATAAAAAACTGAATCGTGTTTATACTCGTATTAAAGGAGAAGGATAGCAAGAATGCCTAGATCTCATGTTACTTCATATTTACATCAAAACATCTTTTCCGAATCTTCATCTTTGCTCTGAAAAATCGTATTAAAATAATTTCAAATGTCCTGATTTCATTGTCTGTTTGTAGAAATTTGTGGATAGGAAAAAATCTTCATTGATTTTTCTCGCGCGCTTTTGTAAAGCTCATACATCTCTGGTATTTTTCTTGTCGATAATCGCTTCATTCTTAATAATAATTTTAAAATTTATTTTCAATTATTATATATTAATTATTACTGCTATCATTCAAGTTAGTATACAATAAGTGTTTACTCCCCATATGTGTTGATTAAATAAAGGAGCTTGTGATTTTAACGCATAAACAGCCGAGTTTCATTCAGTTTACCGTATGAGCTACGAATAGTATTTAGGCATTGCTGTGAAAGTCATAGTATAGTGTATATTCTCAGAAGTGAGTAATACAGATTTTCCGTAAGTCAGCTTTGGTAACAATAATTGTTTTATGAACTAGGATAATTAATTCATACAAATTTGTACTCTATTTGTTAAGAGAACAGAAAAAATGCGTTTAGGAAATGCTGAAATGTTTAAAACAAATGATTCACATCAACCATGAAATGAAACAAATTATACGATATTTTTACCGTAATGCAGTTATTTAAATATATTGAAGCTGTGCAGTATAAGACAGTTATGTTAAATTTATAGCTTAAAAATCCCATAAAATTGTAAAAAAATGCCGTTTTGTATAACTAATATAACTTAATAAAGTATAAGTATTTATTTCCTGTAATTTAGTTTCTATAATTACGTTTCCCAGCTACTGACTTTTGTACCTCTAACTATTTGTTCAGTATTATAGATTAAACAACAAAGGGCTAATTTGGAAACGAAGATTGTAGTTAACTAATTTGGAGTGTATGATTGTGTTGATTTATAAAAGCTTTTAATTCAAAACGAAACATTTCGTTATATAACAAGATAATAAAATAGGTAATTGTCCTATAAAATATAGTACTAAAAAGGTTTCTCTTTCACCCAGTTATCAAAATAATTTAGCTCTTATTCTGGAAGGAAAGCAATTAAGGAAAAAAGAAATGGAGAACAGAAAACAGTATTAAAAGCCAAACTGTCAAAAAAAAGCCAAAAAGGAAACGACGTGCGTTCACTGTAAACTGGATAACGTTGTTTCATTGAAGAAATGTGAAATTCGCATCAATAAAGAGGATAAAAACGCTCAAAGACGCTGAGAGTGAAGCTGATACTGATTCTCTGAATCTTAACATCCCATCATACGAATAAAACATCGCTGCACATGCTCAGTACTGTATATTAGCAGACTACTAAAAACTTGAACATCATCGTACATGTGGGTGAAATAATTAATAATTTCTTCAGCAACTCGTACAGATCGCCGAAAAATATAAGAAGATAAAAACCACTGAGAAAAAGCTTAACTTGCAGGTTATGATCATTAATCTAAGATAACGGGACAAACTAAAAAATTTTATTAAAATGATGAAACAGCCTAGAAAAGTAAAAAAAAAAAGGTATTTTTCCGTTGAGAAGGGTACATATGATCAGCCTATGCCTAACTTATTTCCCGAAGAAAAAAAATAGAGAAAGAAAACATTTGTACACTATTGTTCGGCGGTGTAAAAAAAAAAAAAAAAAAATATTTATATCATTATTTACACATTCAACGGGTTAAATGACTTAAAACAGTTAAACATAACATATCTATTCTTCCCCGAAACGTGGTATGTTAGTGTATAATATAAAATACGATGTTATATGAAATATGATACAATGAGAAAAAACTATGCCTTTAGTGCTATACAACGAGCATTTTGAATTTATGTTAAGTCATTTCTTATATACATGTAATTGAAATTTTCTAAATTTTACTTCAGGATTTCCTTGATTATACGAAAGACATGTACCACTGTGCACAATGAAAGTAGAAGAAGAAATACAATTCTTGTTAGCAAAGTTTTGTAGTAAGGATAAAATGTTAAAGTACTTTTTTCAGTTTCGAGATGAAATCGAAGAACTAAAAGATCGCATTCCTCTAGAAAATTTTGCAGACTTTTTAAAAGTTTTGCAGTTATTTGATAAGTATAACTTTTTGAAAAAGAATAACTCGGTGGAAGAGGTTAGCTTAGTAAAAGAAGTCTGTATAAATACTGAAATTTTCGCAGTTTTAATATCATGTCTAGATATAATTGTCTACAAAATTGCGAAACTTCATTTTGAAATGCATATTGATGCAATACCTGAAGATTGTTTTGAAACTGAAGCAACGTTTGATGCTGTTATATGCCTTTTGAGAATACTTATCGTAGAAATCAAGGGTAAAAGTTACTTCGAAGACTTGCTAAATTATTTGACTAATTTCTTTACAGTTTGGGCAGAACAAAATAAGTTTTCAAGTGTTAGTAACATGGGTGCATGTCCTGTATATGATTGCAGTTTAAAATTTCTAATGAGATTGTTAAAATGTGTTCCTGTCACAGATCATCTGGAGTACATCACTTACGAAACTTCTATGAAGTTGTTCTGTGCTTTGCCTTTGTTAGATCTGAAAACATCAAAATTCTTTCTGAATTATATTTTACCTATAATTACATCATTTCATAATCTTTCTTTTACAGAAGATGTGTTAAGATCAATTTGGAATTTAATCTGTTCAAATTATTCATATGATATAAATAACTGTGATGACAGAAATATAGGCATTTATATATTATTTTATTCTCTGGCTAAAAACATTTATAATGATTTCACTGATAATAGAACTTTCTATATTCATAATAACATATCATTTTGGAAAATGACCCTAATGGGGTTAACTTCAAGACATTCATTCATAACAAAACGATCTCTGTGCATATTTAAAATTTTCCTGTTTTGGGTGAAAACGAAGAACACTAATATTGTTATTCTGGATTGTGGTGTGTGTTTGTTTGCAGTCAAATCTGTGAAAGATCTTCCTGTCTGGAATGATATAATAACTTTATTTGAAACACTTGAAGAAAAACAGGTAAAATTTTATATTTATTTTATTATGTTGATAAATTAATTTGGAGTTTTTTAATACATCAATAATGTATCATAACTCTGCAGTCAAACTTCTTTACATTATGTATTCGATGACTGTGGTTTATCAATACAGTGCAATACTGCTAATTTCAAGCATTGCACAGTGTCTTACAAAATTAATCAGATGCTCTTTAGTAGTTTCAAATACGGTGTCACAAATTTAATATGTGTTAAAATGAAATAATAAATTGGCTTTCTGGAAAGTATGCATTTACATACTTGAATTTTTACACTGAACATTTTTTACATGCATAAATTATTCAGGTTTGAAATTAAAATCATCTCTTAATAGGAAAATCACATCACACAAGTCCTTTGTTATTATTGAGATTACAGTTAAACTCATCTGTAGTGGATGTAATGCATGTTCATTATATTTTTTCTTCAAATTAATATGTAACAGCTAAAAAACCATCTACTTGAATTTTTCAAACACGTTTTTTGAGAATTTGTGTTAGTTCAACATTTTGTTAGCATAGCTGTTTTGAGAAAGCATATATGATTAAGTGATAATTTGTTTCTTGGCGTGGATATTAGAAAACTTGCTGAAATGATTACTTTAAATCATTTAATAGCTCTTGATATTATGAAATGGCTACTCAAAGCATGAATTTAATTATTTGTACTTTTAATATATTAAATTTATGTAGAACACTTTTTATTTCAGGCACATGTGATCAAACCAGTACTGCCTAAATTTTTAAGGATTATACAGTTAACTTCAGCTGCTACATCAGGTAATAATAAAAATTATATGCTGTTAGTGTTATGAAAATAAGTACATAAATAATAATTTGGTGATGACATCCAAGGTAATTTTTACTTGAATGATGGTAGTTTGTGGTATTTTGACAGATCAACTTTATTTAAGCATAATTGTTAGCAATGTGAATACAATGAAGCACTGCAAAGGGTTTTCTTCCGCAAAGGATCCGTTGGCGCCGGTGCGTATTTATTCGCCAAACTCACCAACGGCTAATCAGCCATGATTTTAGTAGTGTATGGTTAAGTTGCAAGATATTTATCATATGGAAGCAGTGTACAGTCAAGTTATATTCCATTCCAAAAGTTTATCTAACCATTCCAAAATCTGTTTATCAATTTCACACTGCTCTGCGGCCGGGGGGGGGCGCAATGAATTGGAAGTTGATCTGTCAGCACTATCCTTATGTTCAGGGCAGATGTTTTTTATTTTATTTGGCTTATAATTCCTTACTAAATGTAGTATTTCATCTGGATGTACTCCATCTTTGATATGATTTAAACCAAATTCCTCGTCATTATAATTCTCTTCTGATAGCGAAGAAAGTGACACAGAGGTTATTGAAAACAATACATGATATAATTTCTGATAATTCTGGACAAAATTTTCAAACAAATCTCTTATTGGAGCTAATTTATCACTCTTTCTTCTGCCATTCCGTGTTTCAACATCATCGAATCTTAAGGCACAAAGAATGGAAAGAAAATGCTTAAAGTTCATTTGTTTTATGAAAAATATCCAATCCTGTTCCATCAGTCGCCCATAATTCTCTAGAATTTACACAGGAGGATTTGTGCAATCCAGCTATGTATGAGACCTAAAAAAGCAAGAAACTCTTCTTTCTCCATAGGTTTTGTGTCTCTTTTAAAATTTCCTGAAATATTTTTTACAGAAATATTAGAGCATCTCGCAATCATTTCAATAATTCTGTCGTCAAATATTAGCTTCCATGCATCGATTGGTGAAGCCACATCTTTATACAGTCAAAAGTCGTTAATTCGGACCTCAAAGCTACAAACTTTCTGTGCATGCGTTGCGACCTTTACGGCTGCGAATATGCATGTGCGCGTGTGCAAAATACGTTTACGAATACGCGTTTAATGTATAACGAACGGTATAAGCTAAGCTAAAATTATATAATTCAGTTAATGTTGCAGATTGCGTTGTTCCTTAATCTTCGAATTGGATCCGGCTTATTATTTTTTGCAGACTGTTAGAGCAATTTTATAAAAGTAAGCTTGAACTTTCGATTATGTCAAATAGAATTTCTGATATATATTTACTAATATGTAAAGGATCTACAAAGCGAAAGTATGTTTCGAAGTCCATTAAACAAAAAGTGGAATTGCTGCAAAAAATGGATAAAGGCATATCCTTTGTTTATCTAACCATTCCAAAATCTGTTTATCAATTTCACTCTGCTCTGCCTCCAGGGAAGGGGCAATGAATTGGAAGTTGTTCTGTCAGCACTATCCTTATCTTCAGGGCAGATGTTTTTATTTTATTTGGTTTATAATTCCTTACTAAATGTAGTATTTCATCTAAATGTACTCCGTCTTTGATATGATTTAAATCCAATTCCTCGTCATTATAATTCGCTTCCGATAGCGAAGAAAGGGACACAGAGGTTATTGAAAACGAAAAAATTTCGATTGACAAATTAGTCGGTATTCTCAACACAGCAATTATAGGACTTGAACAGCAGAACTTTGTAACTGAACAAGAAATTATGTGTGTTTATAGAATGAAAGAGAAAGTATTATCACATAAAAAAACGAAGAAACTAAAACAACAAACATTGATAGAAATGTTTAATAAAGTAAATAATATAAACTTTTTTTTTGTAAATTTATATACCCTTTTGATCATAATTGTTCTTTATTTCATAAATTACGGTTTCATGTTTTTAATTTTATAATTTCTGCATGCCATCTTACCAGATTTAAACTGATGATCTATAATCCGGAATCGCCGGATAGTATAATAAGTACTGACGAGTCTGGAATAACGACTTTTGACTGTATATATGTGCATTGCGAGGCAATTTTTTTTTGATATTATGGGAAGCCATGCCTCTTTGAATTCAAAAGGGTTCTTTCTTCCATTTTGTTGTTTTATCTTTTCCTACGAAATAATCAGTTTGACCACAAGGAATGTCTTCTGAAGAGTTGAATTCCTTTTCTGATTCAGACTGATGATCACTAAATATATCTTCATTATCTGAATCTTGTAAGAAAGTCCATCTCTGAAAAGATGTTTGGAAACTTATAAGAAATGATGTTCTGCAAATTTATCTTAAAATGGACCTAATTCAATGCTATATACATTAGTGCAATTTAGAATATCCAAAGTGAGAATGGAAAAAGCAATATTCTCATTTCCATTTATGAAATAACCAATGCTGTTGACAAATTAATGTGTACCCTAGGAGAATTTCAGTTCCAGGATATCATTGAAATGATTTCTCCTTATAACAGATGGGGGAAAAACCCTGATGAAATTAAACATGACAACATCATTTTATTCTGAATGATGCAGCCATATGTATGAAAAAAGGCACATGAAACACTTCTCAAAATGTTGTATCTGAAATGAGTCGTAAATGCTTTACGTGAAAAGTTCATGAATTGTCGCCAGACGTTGACAAACCTAATTGTATTCTAAGAAAGATATTTTAAAATCTCTGTTATAGTGAGAGTCTTTGGAGAGACTGCAGCTGATATATTAGTTTTGACAAAGTGGGTAACATGGTCAAGTGAGATTGTTATTATGCCAAGCAGTAATAACTTTAGGGGGGATGAGTGTGTGATGGCCCAAGATACTGAATACTGAAGATTCAAACTTGGATCAAACTACCAGTATTCAGCAATTGTATTGCTCAACTGCTTGTGAACTTGAACAAAACTATGAATATCTTGTTAGTAAAACCCATGACGTAAGAAAATCGGGAAAATTTATAAAGTTTTCAAGATTAAAACATGGTCGATTTTGTTATGAATCATGTGATTCTGACATGTTTTAAATACACTCCTGCTACACGGATAGAAACGGAATGATCATTGTCTTGCTTACAACAGATACATCATGTCAATGTAGAATCTGAAGGAAAGTTTAGGTTATTCGAATATGACAAAGAATACTGGCTATGGACCTGAAGAAAGATGCCGTTTTGAACAACTTTCTAAGGGAAACTGGCCAATATTTGCATTACATATGAGAAAAACTAGAAAAATCAACATGCAGCCAGCTCTTTAATCATGATATGAAACCAGATCAAACTACCAGTATTCATTATCAGTTGTAGGAAAAATCTGAAGAAAATGTTTGCAATATCATGTAATCAGAAATTAACTATGTGTTGCTTAGCAGGATTACTTTTGCAAGTGTCGAGGTAGATAATACTACTACTTTTTTTTGTTTGTTTCTTTTTTTTATATATAGGTATTTGCCCATGATATTCATTACATATATTCTCTGTCATTCATACAGAATACTAATATTTTTAGTAAAAAGTGTCTTTTTAAGTTCTTTGCTTGTCAATATTCTCAAAATTATGTTTAATAATTTGTGCTACTGAACATTTAATAGATTAATGGATTCATTACTAAATAATACATTTAAAACATTCATTTTACACAAGCAATTTTTCAAAGTTGTTTTTTTGAATTTACTTGCTTATATCTTAAAATATTTTATTTTGAAACAACTGTCTTTTTCATAATAAATTTGACAATGCCAAGTATCTTCAATAATATTCAAATTCTTTAAAGTAGCATTGTAAACAAACTTGAATAAACATTATACATTTTGTTATCTTTCAAGATTCATTCAAACTTTGATTAATTACTCAAAGCAGTGGTTTACTAACTTTGATGACCCTGGGAATACATAAAAGTATTTTGTTATCTCAGAGAACCAATAATATTTTTTTTTCCCCATTCTAATCATCTATTGTATATAAACACCCAGTATCCTCTAAAAAGTAATTTTTAAAAATGTATTAAAATATATCAATTTTTTAAACATGAAAACTGATTTAATTCTTATTATTTTAGGTAAAAATAACAGTAATAAAAATAAAAACTTAATTATTTAATATGCATATTATTGCAGCCCATGTTAATCATAATATTTTAGGAGCCCTGTGGTTCTGCGTGTTTAAAGTTTTTTAAAAATTACTTAAGAACACAGCCATACTATTCTAAAAAGCCGTGTTATAGCCCCCATTCCCCCCCCGATTTTCACCACCTCACCCGGTAGTGACGCACCGCTAGCCAGCGGTAAAACGAAGCCCCGAACAGACGAGAAATATTCTCTGTCTATAAGCGAAACCAGGTTGCTACCTCCGACAATCCAATTTTTCGGGTCACCATCTTTGAAATTTCATCGCAATTTTTGGCGATGTTTACATTTAACGGATCCTTTGCAGAAGTGCTTTCAAAATCTGAAGAAAATGCATGCAGTATCATGTAATCAGAAATTAACTGTGTTGCATAGCAAGATTGCTTTTTCAAGTGTCGAGGTAGAGAATACTTTTTTTTTGTTTCTTTTTCTTTATATAGGTATTTGGCCATGGTATTCATTACATATATTCTCTGTCATTCATGCAGAATAATAATATTTTTAGTAAAAAGTGTCTTTTTCATTAAGTGCCTTCCTTTATCCCTTGTATCTCGATATTCCTCAAAATTATGTTTAATAATTAGTGCTACTGTACATATAATAGATTAATGGATTCATTTCTAAATAATACATTTAAAACATTCATTTTACACAAGCAATTTTTCAAAGTCGTTTTTTGAATTTACTTGCTGATAGCTTAAAATATTTTATTTTGAAACAACTGCCTTTTTCATAATAAATTTGACAATGCCAAAAATCTTCAATAATATTCGAATCCTTTAAAGTAGCATTGTAAATAAAACTAGAACAAACATTATACATCTTGTTATCTTTCAAGATTCATTCAAACTTTGATTAATTACTCAAAGCAGTGGTTTACTAACCTTAATGACCCTGGGAATACATAAAAGTATTTTGTCATCTCAGAGAACCAATAATAATTTTTTTTTTTTTTTTTTTCCATTCTGATCATCTATTGTATATAAACATCTAGCATCCTCTGAAAAGTAATTGTTAAAATGCATTAAAAATATTATCAAAATTTTAAGCATGAAAACTAATTTAATTCTTATTATTTTAGGTAAAAATAAGAGTAATAAAAATAGAAACTTAATTATTTAAAACATAAATTATTGCAGCTCACGCTAATCATAATATTTTAGGAGCCCTACGGTTCTGCGTGTTTAAGGGGAGTTGGAACCCCAAAATCTTGAAAAAATTTTGCTTTCGGATTTTCGCATTTTCAAATTTTCTACACTTTTATCTTTCTAAAAATACCATTCTTTAATCTCTATGAAAATTAGAACTGTAAAAAAATCTAGTTTTAATTTGTCATCTACTTCTTTGATCAATGAGGATTTTTACATAAAAGCGTGTTTTTCTCCAAACGTGATTTTTTTATACTCGATGTACCTTTTCTCAGGAACTGCAGCTCACAGGTATCTAAACTGTTTATGGCTTTATTATTAGGTTCCCTAATATTTACTGAAATGAGCTTTTTGTAATAAACTTGGAAAAAAAAAATTTAAAATTTGTGTGAGAAAATTGCTAAATTTTACTATGCCTAACAAAATATCCTGTAATTTACTCTAAAATTCAAAATGTTTCAATAGTTCATTTCAGTATAATCAGATAGGTATACTTTAATTACAAAAGAAATTTCAAGCTTGTATCTACAGCAGATTTTGAGAAAAGGTACATCGAAAATGGCCAATTTAACATCGTCGGTATTTTGGTTTCTGATACTCCTTAAAGTCTTTTGAAAATGACGTAAGAACACAGCCATACTAGCAGCCGTGTTATATTCACCCCCCACCGGCCAATTTTCACCACCTCATCCGGTAGTGACGTACCGCTAGGCAGCGCAAAACGAAGCCCCGAACAGACGAGAAATATTCTTTGTTTAAAAGTGAACCAGTTTGGCCCAGGTTACCAGCTTTGAACTTTTATTGTCATTTTTGGCAATGTTTACATTTAATGGATCCTTTGTGGAAGTGCTTCCACTGCAAATGCCAAGAAGTATCTTCTTGCACAAAAGCTTAACTACTAGATCATGACGTCATAAACTAGCAGCTGACAACCACCTTGGTCTCATTTCTTTCTATAAAAATATGCATATTTTTAAAGCTTTACTAGCAGGATGTTTCTTTTGAATAAATGATGTTATTCACTTGAAGATGTATATTTTCAATTCATTCATGAGCATAATTTTCAAAATATATTTATATTTACAGAACTTAGAGCGTCTGTAGGGAAGCAAAAAATTGGTATCAAGGCACAGCTTGACAGCACTTTGAATCGTATTTGTTAAAGTTTATGTAGCATTGAATCCATAAAAAATACTACCTCAAATTGTATTTGTTCGAGTTTATGTGGCGACGAATGCATAAAAAAACTAATGTTTTTTCTTCGATGTTGTTAGCTATTAAAAATTTTATGCTTTCTCAATAAATTAATAATTTAAGATTAGGATCTAGGTTTAAGATTTTTGCCCTGTGTTTGGGTGTATGATTTAGAGGGGGGGACATAGCCAATGGCTCTCCAAAACAAGGAAATACGTAAAATTGTTTTTCCATGCTTTAATAATATTTAAGTCATGGCTCTAGTGTAGAATTGTTCAATTTTGGAGATGAAACCCCATTTCTGATTACCATGATACTTTTAACTTGGTTTTACCTTCCATTATGACCACCTGAGGGTTACCGTAACTTTATTTGAACCTTATATGACATCATAATTCTCCTGATTTTTAAAAAGTGAAAATAGATCGATGTGTGCAAGGACAAAGTTAAGGCAGTGCGCAATGCCGAATTTGTACAATTTTCTGATGTTTTAAAGTGAACAATTCTATGGTTGTCAAAGAACGCATGTAGCATCACCTTGATTTTTTTGCACTAGTTATGCTTTTTCTACCATGAGGACTCGGATGCTTCCGTTGCAGACAACTGTGCTTTTGTTTTTCCGGAATACTGATGGCTCATCTCCAGTTGTCGCTTTGTTCAGAACCTCAGGACCAGTCCTACTAGTGTCAGGTGCTATGCAACATCAAGATGGAGTTCTTTCTCTTTTCTCTGTGCATCTTCAGATCAGCACATAAAATTGCATTTGTGAAATCTTTACTGATTCCAACCTCTTCAGCAATCTCTGATAAGGCCAAATGATGATCTCCCTTTACCAAATTTTCCATGCTGTCAACAACAGGTACATTCCTAGTGGTTTGTGGTCTTCCAGAATGTTGGTCACTCTCCACTGATGTGCAGCCATTTTTGAATCAGTTGACCACTCCTTAGTTATTATCTCTGAACATGTACTACTAAATTTTATGGACTGTTTTGCTTTGAAAATCACCAAGCGTGACAAAATATGATGCAGTATCTTTGTGTAACTCATTCATTCATCTTGAGTTATATAAAAAATCTGACAAACATGTATAACAGCACCTGAGTCGGTGGCAAGCAGTAACAAGTGCACTCAACAGGGAGAAAATTTCAGGCATGAACATTGATCTCTCATTTTTCACTGTGCTCAGTGGTGCCGCCTTGGCATCATTACTGTGCATAGAAAAATTCAAGGTTGCTTCCTATCACAGTTCTGGAGTACCCAATTTAAAAGTACTTTCTCACATTAGAATTTGTAATACTATATTGATGAAATTGTAACGTAATATATTAATGTTGTGACTAAATGTTGATAGTTGAAGGTATACAAATGAGATAAACTTCACACAAGTAATTCCAGCATAGGGCAACGTCAAGCAAATATGCTTTCTAAAATGGGATTCAGAAGTGGAAGTCATTTGCAGGCATAATAAAAATGCGTCATTTTAGTAAATGTCCAGAAATTATATGTGATAAAATTTCAATATTATGTAGATCTTTAGTGTGGTTATCATATAAATTGAATATGTGATTAAAACTAACTTAACTCTTAAAACTTAATTTTGATTAGAGCTATATTTAGATTTTCAAGGATGTCAAGATTGTTGCTTTATGTCTGAAGTTAATAATTTAGTATTCACACCATTTTTTCCATTTCATTTTAGATGTACAGCATAAGGATCTGATTTTACACACATCATGGCTCATACATCTTTTGAAAAGAATGCTGAATCACGAGAACAAATATATTGTTAAATGGGCTTTATCCACAGCTATGAATCTAGATTTTCAAATTTGTCCAATTTCTCAACAGAATTCTAAGGTAATATATTTGTTAACATTTTTCTTACATAACAGTATTTATTCTATTGTAACTTTATTTAAATATTTTCCTATGTTTCAATATACAGAATAAAAGTACATTTAAATAAATAATAATGCATGAATTATTTAAATGTATTTTAATACATCTAAATGCAAATATTACATTTATTTAAATGCAAATATTACATCATTTACATCTGAAATAATGTAAAATAATGTACAGGATTTTATATCTTTTACATAATACAGCTTTTACATAATTTATCACACTGAACATTTGGCCTCTTTCACTGAAAGCCAGTCTCCAACTAACTCTTTTCCTTGACCTAGAAGGTGCTACTTACTTTCAAGATTAAAGTTGTAGATGACCAGGCACTACAGAAGTCATCAAAATAAAATTTAATTTCATTATTTGGTTTTAGTTTGAAATAGAAGTGTTTCATCAGATTAAAAATTTTTTAAATTTTACTACCAGAAAATTTTTCCTTGTTATGGCACCTGTGGTGGATTTTTAAAGTGTTTGGTATTGTAGATTTTACAGCCAGCCCTGGGGATTCTAATAATTAAGTACCAATAAACCCCATACACGAGTTATCAGGATGAAAGTGAAATGTTAAAATTTAAGCAGACAAGAAATATGAATAATATTCATCTTAAATTTTAATAAGTCTCTTCTCGAAATCTTAACATATAGTACAGGTAACTTTCTACTTGATTATGCATTAGATTCAGGATAAACGTTAGGTATTGAGTACTTAACAATTCAGTTTTATTCTTAGAGGAACCACAGATCTGTAATGGATGTTAACACGTTCAAATACATTTGAAATTTTAACTGCGGCTTATCATTTTGGACAGGACTTCTAAGAAATCCTCTGCATTGGCTAGGATTAAACAGCAACATTCACCAATAACTAATTTCTCATGTCTGCATTGTAGTACTTGCTAAGGCACACCTAGGCACAGATCCAGCTGTCCCTCTTCAGACAACTTCTATGACTACACAACTTTTAGACTTCTTCTTTTAACAACATTTAAAAACTATTTGTACTTCTATACTTGTCTTGTAAAAATCTACAGAAGTTCCTGGAAGGAGCGAGCTGTGACTAAGTAAGAAGACAAAGTAAAAAAAACCTACTTATAAGCTAAATAAACTAAATTGTCACACTGTATGTGTGCTTTTATTTGACAGAAATAAAAGTATTTTATATTATTTAAATCGATAATATTTTCTGAAATGTGATAAATGAAAAAATTAAAATCCCACTCTTGCCATTCAGGCCAATGCATTACTGGCATGCATTCAGTAATCAATTGGGAATTTTTTAAGTGTCTGGATGGATAGAGTCCTACAGTGCAAACAATTATTTTAATTGATTTTATTTTATAGTAAAATCACTGTTTAGCTCAAAGATTACTAATATAACAGAAGCTTAATACAGTCAAAAGTCTTTAATCTGGACTCGTTGGGACTTCGGCGATTCCGGATTATCGATTTTTCCGGATTATAGATCATCAGTTTAAATCTGGTAAGATGGCATGCAGAAATTATAAAATTAAAAATATGAAACCGTAATTTATAAAATAATGAGCAATTATCATCTAAAGGGTATCAAAATTTACCAAAAAAGAAGCCTAATATTTATTTGTTTACTTTATTAAACATTTCTTTCAACGCGCGGATGCGTAAAGCATACCTTACGCATATCCGAAATTAGAAAATTGCAACCAGAAAACTATTTGATTTGTATTCGTGGTATTTATAATGACGAGGAATTTGATTGAAATCATATCAAAGACAGAGTACATCGAAATTAAATACTACATTTAGTAAGGAATTATAAGCCGAATAAAATAAAAACATCTGCTCTGAAGATAAGGATAGTGTTGACAAATCAACTTCCAGTTCATTGCACGCTGCGATGTCCCCTTAGATAAACAAAGAATATGCCTTTATCCATTTTTTGTAGCAATTTGTTTTTTGTTTGATGGACATCAAAACATACTTTCGTTTTCTAGATCCTTTGGGAGCTCCAGCATCGGAAATTCTATTTGACATAATCGAAAGTTCAAGCTTACTTTTAGAAAATTGCCCTTACAGTCTGCAAAAAATAATAAGCGGATCCAATTCGAAGATTAAGGAACAACGCAATCATCAACATTAACTGAAATAGATAATTAGATAATTTTAGCTTATACCGTCCGTTATACATTAAACGCACACGCAAAAACGTATTCTGCACTTGTGCAGATGCATATGCGCAGTCGTAAATGTCTTGGACGCACGAGTAAAATGCCTATGCGCATGCGCAGAAAGATTTTAGCTTTGAGGTCCGGATTATAGATCATTCCGGATTATGGGTGATCCCTTTCCTGTCAACTATCTCTAAAAGCAACCAGTATTTTAAGAAGCATAAATAAATATCAGCATGTAAATAAATGCTTATTATAATAAGTGTCTGTAAGCACATTCTCCAACCTGACTAAGACCATCAAATATACCAAGATAACCATTAAAATACCTAATTTCACTGTCTTATTGAAATGTTTCATGTATTAAATAAATTAAAGAACTATGTTTCTAGTTTTTACTGTAATAACAAAACTGTTTTTAAAAATTAATTTTTTTTATGAGTAGTTGAGTATTAATTTAGAGTGATATAATTTTTCATACAGAATGTGATTCGTATTTTAAAATAGCTCTCTTCAAATTATTTGTCATATCCCTAATCTGGTTAAACTGTTTCATTCCCTGCCTATGTAGCAGATATTAGACAGTATTGAGATCCAGAATTGTGAGTACTTCAGCAATGCTAGATTTCTGAAATTTCTGGATTTTAGATCATCAGTTGAAATCTAGTAAGATTACATGTAGAAATTATAAAATTAAAAATATGAAAGGTCATTAGTGAAATAATGAAGCATTTATAATCTTAAGGACATGAGAATTTACAATAATAATAAATGCTGAACTTTTATTTCCTTTCATTATTTTATTAGTCCAAAAGCACTATTAATCCCAAAACACAATTTTGCATTGGTTCACTTTAATTGCATGTCTCACTTTTCATTCAAGTCTGTTGCCATTTAGGAAAATGTATGGTATTTATTTTTCTAATTGAATCTTTGTGTTATTGATTAAGAAACTAAGCTGTTTCAAAAGCAATAGATGCAGTTCTTAAGATATATATTTTTTTTACTTTTTAATCTGATTCATTTAAATAAAAATGCATTTAATTTCATGATAGTACTTGTAGAGACATTAGGTATTTTTTTTTTTTTTTTTTTTTTTTTTTTGGAAGAATGCAAGATGAAAAATGAGCAATGCCTTTACCAGGAATCGAGCAATGGACCTTTGGAATGCGCACCTAGCATGCAGACCACTACACCACAAAGGCATGCTAAGAAGGCAGGAGAAATACCTTGTAGACTAATTAAAAATATATTTTCATTTTTCAAGTATACAGAAGATATATATAATGTTCTCATGTTAGTCTAAATGTGTATTATCTGGTATCCTATAAAAAATTTTGCTATTCTACCTGGGCCATCTCTATTGATAATCTCCATAGGTAAAGCATATTAAACATTAAAAGAGCTTTTGAGCAACTCTTACAATCTGAACACTTTCTGATCTTTTTAACATCCTATTTTTTTAGGGTAAGTTGCTTAAATAATTTTATTTTATGTGGTAATACCTTCCCTTTAATTTTATAGTGAGACATAATTTCTTGTTCAGATACAAACTTTCATTTGTCAAGTCTGCTGTCTTGAGAATTCCCATTAAGAAGTGAATCTCAACTAAAATCTTTTCACTTTTATTAACTTTTTTATCACTTTTTTCATGATCACTGGCAATATTTTCTAGATTTAAAACTATATTACAGGTTTCACTGTGCATTAATCGACTGATGATTGGGTAATTGCCTTTGCAATAAAGATTTCAGCTATAAGAAACTGCTTTTTTTTTTTTTTTTTTATTGGCATATTTCCTCAGTACAATTCATCACTAGTTTAGTTAAGCCTGTTACTTGTTGCAACTATATTTTTCATTCAGTTGTCTTTATAAAAAATGGTTCATTTTGTAAAAGGAAAGAATGGAGAAAAGAACAGGGGAAAAAAAAAAAAAAAAAAAAAAAAATTCTAGGCCATGGTTGTTTATGCATCATCCTATTCGGCCTACATGCAGCTTTTATTTGTACCACAGTCTTAGGTTATCAGTTATGTATACTGGTGCCCTGTGTAAATAAAACATATTCATAATTCAAAGCAATGTACCTTTATTTATTTGCCGTTTGTCAGAACAACTTAACTGGTGCCCTTCAAAAATGGACGAAATAGGCATCTGCCAATGTAGCTTATGCCTATGTAAGTGTTTTTAATGATATCTGTAAATGTGTCCTTTCATGACTTTGCAGTGCTCTTCTCAGCAGATTTTATATTAAAATATTTCAAGAATTGTAGGATAGTCTTACTGTAGTCATCGACAGATTAATAAATATAAAGCACTGAATAACAAAATAAGAAGCTGAAATAAAATGGAAAATTAAGGAAATGCTGAATTCGCAGTGAAGTTTAAGTTAATTGAAACTTTATTTTTCTCCTTCCTTTCTGCTCCAACAAAAGGAAACTACTGTGTACAACATTCCACAAGTACAGAACTAGTTAAGACAAGTACAGTCAAAAGTCGTTAATCCGGACTCGTCGAGACTTCGGCGATTCCGGATTATCGATTTTTCCGGATTATAGATCATCAGTTTAAATCTGGTAAAATGGCATGCAGAAATTATAAAATTAAAAATATGAAACCGTAATTTACGAAATAAAGAAAATTATGATCTAAAGGGTATAAAAATTTACAAAAAAAAAAAAAAAAAAAAAAGCTTAATATTTATTTGTTTACTTTATTAAACATTTCTTTCAATGTAAGTTGTTTAAGTTGCTTCGTTTTTTATGTGATAATACATTCTCTTTATTTCTATAAACAGACATAATTTCGTGTTCAGTTACAAAGTTCCGCTGTTCAAGTCCTATCATTGCTGTGTCAAGAATACCGACTAATTTGTCAATCGAAATTTTTTCGTTTTCAATAACCTCTATCACTTTCTTCTCTTCGCTATCCGAAGCGAATTATAATGACGAGGCATTTGATTTAAATCATATCAAAGACACATCGAGATGAAATACTACATTGAGTAAGCAATTATAAGCCAAATAAAATAAAAACATCTGCTCTTAAGATAAGGATAGTGCTGGATCAACTTCCAATTCAGTACATGCCGCCCTGTGTTAAAGATAAACAATGTTTAGATAAACAAACGTTAAAGTTTACATAAACAAAGGGTATGCCTTTATCCATTTTTTGCAGCAATTCTACTTTTTGTTTAATGGACTTCAAAACATACTTTCGCTTTGTAGATCCTTTACATATTAGTAAATATATATCAGAAATTCTATTTGACATAATCGAAAGTTCAAGCTTACTTTTATAAAATTGCTCTAACAGTCTGCAAAAAATAATAATCCGGATCCAATTCGAAGATTAAGGAACAACGCAATCTGCAACATTAACTGAAATAGATAATTAGATAATTTTAGCTTAGCTTATTCCATCCGTTATACATTAAATGCGCATTCGTAAACGTATTTTGCGCACGCGCACACGCAAATTCGCAGCGGTAAAGGTCTTACGCGCATGCGTCAAAGTGACACATGCGCAGAAAGTTTGTAGCTTTGAGGTCTGGATTATAGATCATTCCGGATTATGGGTGTCCGAATTAACGACTTTTGACTGTACAGGACTATGCTATACAGTAACTATTTGAGAGCTTTAAAGAAAATGTGGGGGAAGGGAACCACACCTAATCAGAACAAACTGGTTTTATGGCACCTTTTTTTTTTTTTTTTTTTTGCTTGAGTATATTATACATTCCTATACTTTGTGGGGGAAAAAAATAGAGTTTTATGGGAGGTCTGAATTCCAGTTATTTGATGTCCAGATTTCAAACTTTGTACTGTGTAACAAATTAATGTTCATGCGGTGCCATAGCATTTCATTTCTGTTTATTATGCTATGCTTATTGGATTAGGCATGTAGCCATTTTACTTAAAATTTATTCAAGTGACTATTCTTAAATAGAGACTCTGGCAGAGCCAAAAATTAGTACATTTAAACAAAGAACACAATTAAAAGTTATTGAAGATGCTGCCGGTAGTTTGTTGCAAAAAGGGTTGGCAGTATAATAACTTCATGGTCTAAGTATTTTTATAAGAAGTGAATATTTTTAAAATTACTAAACAACAATTAAAATTTAAGTTTTTACAATGTGAGTTTTTTTTTGGCTTGCTTTCTGTATTTTAAAATATAATTCATTTAGAGTTTTTTTTGGGGGGGGATTAAGCAATGCATTTTGTTCCCCCTTTTTTACTTATTTATTTATCAGCTGATTACTTTTCTTTGTAACCGGTTCAAAATGATTACTTTTCTTTGTAACCGATATAGTTTTATTAGTAAAATGATTCTAATAAACTCATATGTTGCACTTCTGCTTGAGCATTTTTCTTTGATGTATCCAAGCATCTTGAAAAGAGCAAGTGCATTAATTATCAAATTGATTACTGCTATCACTGGTAGTCAATTTCTCTAAAATAACACTTCTACGGAAGATCAAAATTGTCTGGAAAATATAGGTGGTTATCTTACTGAAGTTTCACTGTATGTGGAAATTTTTGATATTTTGTTTACTTGTTTACATTATTATGATTTATATTGTTTAATCAAGCAAGAAGAATAAGTGTTAGGCTGTTTTAGGTGAAACATGTTACTTACGTATCACTAATTTTTCCAGTAGGTATTAGTATTTTTCCAAATTAAATTTTAAAAGATTATTCTCTTAAAACAAGCATAAATTAAAGATTTTTCTTTTAAAATAACCATTAGATTAAAATAACCAAAGCATTTAAATCGCTAATCAGAAGAACTATGCAAAATATGTGCACCATAGTGAAATATTCAGGAATTTAAATACATGCTGTATCCTGAACGTTAGTATAATTTCCTCAGCATTTAAAGAGCAAATGTTAATACAGTTGTATTTATTTTATTATATGATCTTTTTCTTTTATGATGTTATATGAACTGTAGACTGTATCTATTATATCTTCAAAATATTATTAATGCAAGAATGGAATACATTATACTCATTATATAAATCTGAAGCATGTGTAAAACTGAAGCTAGATTTTCACTGCATTTCATAATAGGTAATTAAGAAATTTTATTAAATTTATATGTATGTATGGACATTTATGGACTTCCTCACATAAGGTATGCATCTTAATCAAAGCCATATATTTTAAATATTATTCACTGTAATCAAGCTATAGAAATAATTATTTACATTAACTTGTTAATAAATGATCTGTCTTGCTGTTGCAACTATATCTAAATATAGTTATTTGCATCAACAGTAAATTAATTGTATAACATTCACAGATGCAATTCCTTCAAAATAATTTTGTGGTCTTATTCATATGGTTTATCTACACATATCAATGCAATAACTTCATCAATATCATGGATGATGGCCCTTCATGGATGATAAGTGATTTCATAGCATTCATTTCGTGGGAATTTGCTCACTTCTACTTCTCCAATAACTTAGGCAGTTTTTGTTTTGCAGAAGTCCGTTTTAAGCCATTTCACTTTTTTGAAGGACATAAGTTGGAATTTGTTTTGATACTTCCATATTAACACAAATACCTTAGTAGAAATTGCCAAATTTTCAGAATGCACCTAACTAGTAATGTGCTTAACAATTATTTGCATTTAACAAGAAAAATGTCATTTTCATATGCATTCTTTTTGATTCCAATCAAATAATAACAGTTTGAAATCATTTTTAAAATATGCTATTGTGAGTTTCCTTGCAGTGAAAAGTCTGCTATAAATTTTCTGCTGGCATGCATAATTTTGCTGCAAATTATCTTAATAGAACAATTTAATTGGATGTCAAGTGATTGCTATAAAATTTCCAACAGAACGGAGCAAAATGGAACTAAAAGTCCAGGGAAGGGGTGAAAAATTAAAAAACGGCTTTTAAATAAACTTATTGATTGTTTTTTTTGATAAATATGTAGTTAATATGGGAAATATATACATAATACATAGTAAATAATGTTTTGCAATTTGGAAGTCAAGTCACTTCTTGCAATGCAAATCACCATTCCTTTTTCCTCTGAAAAATATAGCCAAACTACATCAGGGTGGTTGAATTAGCACATTATGTACCCATGTTATATCTTGCATAAAGATATTTGAAAACGATTTTCTCTTTTAACACCCTAAAAATAACATTTGGTATTTGATTTGTGCGAAAAGGAAGATATTATTAAGAAAAAATATTTTTAAATTGTGAAAAATGCACATAAGTTTGGCAGTTTTATGACTTTTCAGTACTTAAAACTGTATGAAAAGGCAGAATTGTAGGTAATAAGAAATAAAGACTTTTCACATCAGTCACTAATGATAAATCTTGGTCTTTGACATGAAGGTAGCCAGATACAGCAATTGTATACATAGAGACAAAGGGTTCAAATAATCAGAGTTAGATGGAAATTTGCAAATTCCTCACCAGTTATTGGACACTTGCTGGTTAAGCATTCACTGGAATTCATGGTCAAACATATCAGTTACTTATCTGTTCCATCATTAAGAATGCTGCGTACATCACAGTGCTGACAAATATTATATAGTACAAAGTCCGTAATCCGGATGTCCATTATCCGGAATGATCTATAATCCGGACTTCAAAGCCACAAACTTACGCATGCGCATAAAGCGTTTACGCATGCGCGTTTGATGCATGTGTCCACTACGCGTGCCCGTAATGCCAGTAAAGCGTTTACCCATGCGTGCTTCCGATAGTGAAGAAAGTAACAGAGAACTTTATTGAAAATGAAAAAAATTTTGATTCACAAGTTAGTCGGTATTTTCAACACAGCAATTGCAGGACTTGAACAGTAGAACTGTGTAACTGAACAAGAAATTATGTCTGTTTATAGAATTAAAGAGGAAATATTAGCAGAAAAAACGAAGCAACTTAAACAACTTACATTGAAAGAAATGTTTAATAAAGTAAACAAATATAAGCTTTTTTTTTTTTGTAAATTTATATACCTTTTAGATCATAATTGCTCTTTGTTTCATAAATTATGGTTTCATATTTTTAATTGTATAATTTCTGCATGCCATCTTGCCAGCTTTAAATTGATGATCTATAATCCGGAATCGCCGAAGTCCCGACGAGTCCGGATTATGTACTGTACTCTCAAAAAGGGAGGAGATTACTTACAGCTAAGCCTTAATGGGAGTTGAATTCACTTCCTTGGTTTTGGGTCAACCATTATTAAACACCGGATTCTCCAAGGCAATCCACCACATAAAATTCATAAGTATGAATTTCTATATAAATATCAGAATTTCTTTTTCCCACATTGAATTCATTTTCGTATTAAATGTAATTGTAATTGTAGAAATGTAGCTATCTAAAAAATTAGGAAAACAGTTCGGAGCATTCACCACGTAACTGTAATAAAGTCGGCTTTCTTATATGTATATATATTTTTATAATTTGTGTTTTTTATTTAATATATTTATGTGTATTATTTTCTTTTTTATAGCTATTTATCCAAATAGTAATTGAAGCTTTTAATGATCAGAATTTGTTCTCTAGGTTTGTATTTAATTCATATATTTTTTATATTAAAAGTTGTCATAATTTAGTGACATTTTGCAGTTTCCACCACCCCCAATCTTAGTATGGTTTAAAGCAGCATTGCCTAACCTTGTGCTTGCGAGCGCAAGTGTGCTCGCTGATCATTTTGTATGTGCTCACCAGCTCGATTAGGTACTATGAACAAAAAATATTAAAAATATAACCATTCATTTATATTTCTTAATTGTTAAAATATGATAAGCATTTATTTTAGTCATAAGAGGTACCTTGATGTACATTATAAAATAATTGATAGCTGACTGATGAACTTGATAGCGAATATGAAATCTTATTGTTTCATTCCGATGTTAGATGGCTCAGCAGGGGAAGAGTACTTCAACGATTTGTAGAACTTCTTTCACCAATAAAGCAGTTTTTGGAATCCGGAAACGAAGGTTATATTATAACCTTTATAATATAAAGAATTGGACAATAATAATTGGTTATCCAATGTGTGTTTTCTCACAGATATAACAGCTAAACTGAACAAACTGAACGAAGATATCCAGGAAAAGGAAAAAAACCCTTTTTCAATTGACTGGGACTGTAACTGCTTTTCAGATAAAGTTAAATTTGTGGATAAACCAGATGAAAGAAAAAAATTTAAACCATTTTCAGAATTTATCAAGCCATATTAATAACCACAAGGCAATTGAAACCGAGAAATACTCGGAAAACCTAAGTGCACTTAAAAATAATTTTGAACTCTGCTTCTCTGATTTCCATAAAGTTCAACCAATATTATTATTTAGCTCAAACCCATTTGCCGAAATTAATATTTCAGATGTATCACATAAGATTGGAAATATGTTTAATGAAAATGTTGATGTTTTGGACATATGCTCGCGATAGGCCAAAATGTGCTCGCGAGAAGCCGAAGGTTGGGCACCACTGGTTTAAAGTAATGTGGTTTCGAATGTAAGTTATTTGAAAAAAATTAAACCATTTTTTTTTGCTTAAGTCTGTTCATATTTATTTGTTAAATATATTTTTAATTTTTTTGAATCACATCTAAGAAATTAAAATCAAATCAATTAGCAGATTGCCATATATCAATAAGTATGCTTGGTTTGGGATTTATGCAAAGCATGATGTTTGGAGGTGAGATATTTCCATACATATGAAATATAAAGACTGTCACACAAAAAGCAAAGATTGATGTTTTATTTGCTTCAATTAAATTTGTAAATTTCTAGATGTAATGTGCATTTTATATATTTATTTGTATGATATTTTTGTTTAAAAAATAACTTTACAGTTTTTCTTCTGTTTAAAGTAACATGATTCGTTGTGTTCTGATACTGCATTACATGACATACTGCAAATGTTTTTCATATACAGTACAAAGTCTGTAATCCAGACTCGTCGGGACTTTGGTGATTCTGGATTAGGGGTTTTTCCGGAGTATAGATCATCAATTTAAATCTGGTAAGATGGCATGCAGAAATTATACAATTAAAAATACGAAATCATAATTTATAAAATAAAGAACAGTTATGATCTAAAGGGTATCAAAATAATATTTATTTGTTTACTTTATTTAACATTTCTTTCAATGTAAGTTGTTTAAGACGCTTCCACAAAAAATTCAAAAAGATCCTTTTTCTTGTGTCATATATAGTGGACTTTCCAACTTATCGCATAATTTTGAGACGCATAGGCCTTTATCCATTTTTTGCAGCAATTCCACTTTTTGTTTAATGGACATCGAAATATGCTTTCGCTTTGTAGATCCTTTGGCAGCTCCAGAATTGGAAAGTCTTTTTGACATAATCGAAAGTTCAAGCTTAATTTTTATAAAATTGTTCTAATAGTCTGCAAAAAATAATAATAAGCCGGATCCAGTTAGAGATTAAGGAACAGTGCAATCTGCAACATTAAGTGAAATGCCTTAGATAATTTTAGCCTATACCATCCGTTATGCACTAAACGCGCATGCATATAAAGTTTGCAGCTTTGAGGTCCGGTCCGGATTATGGACATCCAGATTACAGACTTTGTACTGTATAATATAATTGCTGTAGTGTTTTCATGCAGTATTTGTACTGTATTAGTTGTCACGTATACACAGTAATCTAGATATTATTTATAGTGGATGGGGAATTAATGCATAAACATTTTATGCACAGATTTTAAATGTTTGAAGGTTTTATTGATTAACACAGAATAATATGTTGATGAGCAAATGCTGGCAGTAACATTTGTTTGTACACAGAACATTTATTTTTTTTATGACAAGTTTTGTACTGAAGTTGAGTTTGCTAATTAAACGTTTTTGGAATTCCATGCCTAATCCATGGTACATTTCATAGCCATTCTATTATTACTGATTTCTTCCTAATGAAACTCCATATTTTATTTTAACCATAATTTTTTGTTTTTAAACAATTAATAGTTATGTATTAAAACTGATAAATTGCAGGTTTTACTTTTTACTAGAGCAATGCAGTATTATTTTTAATGTGTTATCGTTTCTCCCACGTATTTTCTGAGAAAATATTAGTCCATATTTTGTTCATGTTCTGGCAATAGGTTTAAGGAAAATGTGCAAATAAAAAATGCTTGAGTTATAATTATGAAAAGAAATTCACTTATGCTTTTCTTTTTGGATTATCAATCATCTAAATTTGTTATACAGCAGATGTTTTTTCCTCTTAAAAATGAGAAGGTAGTATTTAACCGGGGATTAAGGGATGTATTGTTTAATCAAGTGTGTTTATTTTATAATTTTTAAATTCAGTGTGATTAACAAAGTCTTTTTATAGCATAAAATATTTCAGCAGTATTGACTGAAATCTGTTCTATTCTTTGGGAAGATCTTAAAAAACAATTGCTGTCTGGCACAAAAAAAATTTTAATTCTGATTGAATGTGAAGTGTAGTACATGATTTTCATTTTGCTTAAGAATATTGATAATTTGTTTTTATTCATATAAATTCATAATATATGCTTAATACTATGTTAAAAATAGAAAAATTTGGCATAATTTTTTTATTGAAGTTATTATCTTTTATTTGAAATATTTTCCATGCTTATGATAATTAGCACTTTTTGATTTTATTAATTTGCTTCTTTCAAATAAATAAGCATATACAAAATTTGTGTCATTTAAATGATAATAATAATAAAGTTAGTTGCTTTTAATGTTTCTAATTTAAAGTAATATATTGCTTAATAAGCTTATAAAGCTATAACTTCTTCATATACTATTATTCTTTTAACTGACATGAGTTTATTTTTTTTTAAACTCATAAAATATGCATCAACTGTAAATGGATGTCATTTGCTCTTCTGATTTTCAGGTGTTTATGTTCAAAGTGTTGCCTTTAAATTACATAAAATTTCCATTCTTGGTTTGTAAACCTTTTGGATCCTCCCCCCCCCCAAAGTCGAATTCTTAATGTTTGTAGTTCTCTCTCTCTCTCTCTCTCCTTTTTTTTTTTTTTTTTTTTTTTTCCTGTGTGTGTGTAAAATGTACACCAGGATAAGTAATTTTTGTGAATGAGATGTAAATGAAATAGTTTCTAAAACTATAAATTTTCTTTTGATACACTTAGAACAGAGGGAAAAGATGGCTATTTTCGATGGCTCTCTGCTAAGAAGATACAAAAATTTCTGATACATTATATTTCTGTTTTTGAAACTGAATCTGAAAGAGGTAAAAAATTTACTCATGGTTTATTTACGTAATTTGTATGTAATGTTTACTTGAAAAAATTATTAATATAATAAATGATATTAGATATGTTAAATATTTTTTCACATAATTTATTTTTATCATAAGTATTTGTTTAAATAAAATTTGCTTATAAAACATATGCTTAGTCTGAATGCAAATATTCACAACAATTTGATTTTCAGCTTATTTTTACATAGATTTTGCTTAACTAATGCATAGCTTAAGATTAATGATGAACTGCTACTTATACTAACTAATGCATAGCTTAAGATTAATGATGAACTACTTCTATACCTGTATTTATGCAGAATATATTTTAAAGTATAAATTATGAGCATCATAGAACTGTTATTGTTAATAATAAATATTATCTAAGGCAACCAAATATAGTAAGTAACCACTTGATATTGTTGTAAATTTTTGTGTTTGTTTGTAATTTAATTTTTATATTTTTATGTGTTTGTAGCGTATCAGTTTTATATATTTATTTAGCGTATTTTGTATAATAATTTTATACCTATTTATTTGATACTATGTGTAAGGTAAAAATATACTTCAGGGTGCCCCTTGGCGAAAATTGGCGATTTTTGGTGATTGGCCAGCAAGGCGTAATTTTAAGATGGCTGCAACAAAACCAAAATAGGAAGCCAAAGAACTGCACAAACTCTTGGTAGACATCAATCTATTTTCACTTTAAAAATATCTGAGAATTGCACAAACTCGGCATTGTGCAATCCCTTGACTTTGTCCATGTACATGTCGATCTATTTTTACTTTAAAAAAATCAGGAGAATGATGACATCATATAATATTAAAACAAAGTTACTTATCACCAAAATTGAACAAAATTTGTAGCTAATCAAAGCTCGATTAAACTGCATTTTAAATCACACAATGAAATAACATAAAAAAGGAAATGCATGTTATTGCATATATGAACTACAAAAAGGAAATACCGACTTACCATATTTAGAAATTTCTGTGTCTTCAGCCTGTGGCACAAAAAATTCCTTAACTAACTCCTTAATTGAAAAACTTTCTAGAATTATCTCAACTAGAATATGCATACTGCCGTTGCCACATAAATTCATAAAAATAAGAGTCAAAAATATCCTCCGTAGTGCTGAACTGTTGGTGGCATTTCTTGCGACAAACGCATTCAAAGCCATCTGAACAATCTTTGCATTTGACCATATGCATTTCCTTCATACAAACAGGACACTTATAATGACTATTAAGTAAACCTTCATTTACACACCAGTCAATTAATACTTTTCCCCCCTTTTGTTCCAAATCATACAGAAATTTGATATTAATATCATCACATACAGCCATTTTACAGTGTACAGCACAAAATAAGCATTGCACTTCCTAACTGACATCCAACGCAGAAATCAGCCCTTACAAATATTTTCCCCATCAGTCAAATTTACAGCAATCAAGGCATAATAGGTTTTCCATATCATTTAACTACTCAGGTTACTATAAATAAAACAGCAACTTGGCGATAATCCAAGAGGCACCCTAAAATATAGATTAACCTTGTGTAACCTTGAATTTATGATCAGTTATTTTGTTTGCAAATGTTATTTCGTACATTATTTTGTAAAGCTTGTAATTCTTTATTTGAAGATGTTGGAATTTTAAAGGTAGCTCAAGTAAAACCTAAAATATAGACAAATAACCCTTATTATTTCTTGGCAATATTTTTTTATTTCTCGCCGACTTTGCTGCACTCTGGAAGTTTTATATAAATGTGTTTTCAAAGCCCTAGGAGCTATTTTCTGGAAAGTTATAGAAATGCTTACCTCTTCCCTGTACAGTGACATGCATATAGGAGGTTAAGAGTAGCCATGGGCTAGTAATAATTGAGTTGAGATTTATTCTGTTGCAGGCAGTTCTACCATTGAGCTGGCTGCTTTTTGAGTATGAGTTGTCACTAAAATTACTGTAAAAGCAATTTTTGTGATTTATAATGATCTTCATGTGTTAAGAAAATGTGGGCTCTTTGAGTAGTCTTTGGGCTGTTTTTAATCAACTACATTACCTTGAGAGTTGTTCTTCATCTCAGGCAGAATAAAATTTGTTTTATTTAGTCAACTAAGGATATCTCTGGAAATAAAGTGACAAAGCATGCAGTGATATTTTTTTAAATGCTGTAGCTGTATTATAATATTTATTTAAGGAGCTTTCAAAATTATTGAGTGAAATAACAATAAAAGTGAAAGCTTAAGAATGGTCACTGAAAATAAATATGTAAATTTGAATACCCTTTTCAGAATTATTGAAAGAAAAAAAAATTTGTAAGTATTTTCACTCTTCTCATAAATATATTTTTATCTGTTTCTTTCTTTTATTTTCAGTTGACCTAATGAGAAATCTTCTAAGTATTATTGCATGCCAGTCATGGTGTGGTGTAGCACTACTGCATTTCACTTTTGCATTGTCAAGAATGGATAGTATATTTGCATGGGATCAGATGGACTTAGTTAATATGAGGTAACATGTTAAAAATGCTTTTTGATTAGCAATATACAATCATTTATTAAATCTTTTTGTAAAGTCGTTTTAATGAAAAATTGCTTTAGATTATAGCCTTTCTACTGTAATGTAAAGAAATTGCTATAATACTTTTTAAGGATATGCCATGATTTCTAGGAGGTATAACAGCAGCTAACTTTTCTGGCTGTTATCTTTGAGCAAGAACTTAATAACTCAAATATAGCCAAAATTCTTCTTCTTCACATTTGCCCACTCATTTTGGGTCAATGTAACTAAATCGAGGGAATGGAAGTGTTCATTGCAGAACCTTTTGTGCATTCTCAGATTACTGAACATTCTTCAAACTCAGAGTTAAAACCTCAACTAAAATTTTGGCATTCATTGGTCATAGAGTATTTGACTTATCTTTATTTTCTTATCTAAACAAATTTGATTCTTGCTACTAGCATTTGCCCTTTATTTTCGTTAGTAATGTGTTATTATAGCTCTGCCGTTCTTTCAGTCCTGATTTGCTACCGTAAGGACTGCAAAACATATGAGTAGTAATGTTTCAAATGCTTGAAAACTATAAGTATGCTATTATGCCAAGAAGATGAATTATTCTATTTCTGCCATACTTTGAAATGGTATCTTACGCTGTACAACAAAAGTGCATTTCTTCGTTTATCACTTGTTTTTTGGTAATGAAGTTAAAATTTTAAAATCCTTTACTTTCATTGGTAGGAAGAAAGTATGTGGCAATATCTTTTACATTATTTTATTTATTAGTACATAATAATGGACTATTGAGTGCAGAATATTGATTTAATCTTCGTAATGCCTTATTTACATATTTGTCAATTAAACATAGCCATAACATATATGTTACATGGATAGCTCCCCTTTTTTCTATAAAGCACTTGCTATTTTTGGAACTTGTTATTTGTGGATAAGAGTGTATTCTTCTTCAGGTTGAGCTTGTCAGGGATCAGGCACCTCTTCTAAGTAGTATTTTGTGCCCAAATGCACCAAACCCAATGCTTCCTAGCTCCATTTGTTTGGGTTGTCCACTTTGTTTATAAAGTCTGAGGATAATAGACTCTATTATCCTCAGACTAACTCTTTAGTGCTGAGTATAGTAACTCTTTAGTACTGAGAATACCTAAAGTAGTCAAGCGAGTGAGGGCAAGGGTATCATACTCATATATAATATGGCGTGCTATTTCCTCGTTCTTACAGCATTTCCTGCATATAGGGTCTTGTTGAAAATGTCCCATAGTATGAAGGTGTTTTCTGAAATAATAGTGCTCCGTGATGAAGCCCACAATTATTTGTATCTTCAGTCTTAGGCATCTAAGAATTTCAGAGGCAATTTTAGCAGAAGTTCTGATAATCTCACTTTTAGCATGTTTTTGTCCAGAAGAATCAAGCTAAGCAGGAGATGAATCAAGCTAAACTTCATTCATCTCCTGTTTTTACCATTTAAGAAGGATGCTGTTTGCAGTCTTTACATTGATACCACAAAAGGATTTCACACCTATTGGATTAAAAGATGATCTGTATTTTGCAAGTTCATCTGCTTTTTCATTACCTTCAATTCCCATATGTCCTAGTATCCAGCTTAGGATTACCTTGTTTCTGGTTGACAACTCTCTTAGAAGGTTTCTGCATTCCAAAACAATCTTTAATTTAATTTGAAATGCATATAAAACCCTTAGGACAGTTTGACTGTCCTACAAATGAGAATCCGCATAATGTGGTAGCCTTTTCTTATATTTATTTTTAGACAGTTAGTAATAGTGAGAACCTCTGACTAGAAAACAATGGCATACCCCCCAAGACTTCTTCTTAAAAGGTTTCTGCATTCCAAAACAATCTTTAATTTGAAATGCATATAAAGCCTTTAGGATGGCTTGACTGTCCTAAAAATGAGAATCCGCATACTGTGGTAGACTTTTCTTATATTTATTAGTAGACAGTTAGTAATAGTGAGAACCTCTGCCTAGAAAACAATGGCATAACCCCTCCCCGAAGACCTCTAAAGAGATAATTCTGGGTGATACACCATGTACTCCCAGTACTTAGAGGTTGTCTCTCTTTGATCCATTTGTGAATGAGATTACGTTATCAGTGTTTAAACTGAACATGTCATTCCTTTCAACTCTAGTAGGGAAAACTACTTCGAATGGCTTGTCAAACACATAAGTCATTTCCATTATGTTTTAAAGGATCATGAATTTTCTTAGTAATACTGATATGACATTTAGCACTAGGCTTGTTATACCATTGATTTTGCAGTATATAATTCTATATGCAGTCATTCTAGCAACACTGCAAATGAAAATGTCCAAGGGAATCAGATCTAATGTGATATTTAATGCTCTGGTAAGTGCCGAAGGTATTGCACCTGTGATACACAGGCAAGCCAATCTTTGCAAACTTCCTAGCCTGCCCTTCACAGTTCTGTGCTCCACCTTGCACCATCACATCACAGAGGCATAAGTAGTAATAGGTCTGATAATTGCAGTATACATCCAAAATGCTATTTTTGGTTATAAACCCCAGTTTTTGCTCAGCATACATACATCTGCATGTAATGATGCCTTTTTTTTTATTATTTGAGTAATTTTATAATCTACATGTTTATTCTGTGTGAACTTTTTGGTTAAGGTATAATCCTAAATACCTCACCTTTGAGGTCATGTAGGAGTGTATTACTGTGCTAGAAATCTTATAACTGTTCTAACTTTGCATATATATATATATATATATTTTATTTTGTAGTTAAGGTAACAGTAATATGTGACAGCCTTCTTTGCAGGTATAATTAAGTATTTCTTATAGCTATTTAAATAACATTGGCTATTAGTAAATTGAATGTAAATTTTATATATTGAGTTATGCATTTTGTCTAATATTCCATGGCTATCTATTTGAAACTTCATTCTTGTTACGATATTTTGATGTAATTGCAATTTTTTTTATTAATCTTTAAATTAAAATTTAACTATGCATGCATTCGAATTTATTTATTTTAAGCATTTTAACAATATGTTCATCTGTCTTTGTATATGCATTTGCTGCATATTAAATTATTTTGATTATTTCAGAAAAATTATTTTAGATTTACAAAGGACCCAAGCTCAGGTTTTTAGAGCTGCTCTGGAACATTGCCTGCTTGAAACATGCATAAACTTTTTAGATTGGGTAAATATATTTTAAAATTTTTTAATGCTGTAAAATTCCTGCTTTTGTGTTAGTTGCTGTTTGTGCTTATTATTATTATTATTTTTCAGTTTTATTCAGAGCCACAAATTTTCAAAGCTAAGAAAAGTTCAGTGTGCATTCAAAAGCATATCAGGAATGATAAATGCTTTAGATTGCAATTATAAATAATGTAATTGAGGTTTTGATAAAGATTTGTTTTTATTCCTCTTCTCCTTCTTATCATAGACAAATATTTGTCTTCAAACTAGTTTTTTTTTTTTTTTTTTTTTTTAAATTTATTTATTTAGTGCATTCAGTTGTATTTATAATTTAGTACTGTGTTTCTTAAGAATGAAAGAAAAAATAATGAAATTTCATATTTTGATTATTTATGCAAATTTTATGATTTGACAAACTCTTTCATAAAATTTATGGTTGCAATTTTACAGTTTCTGAATCTGTGTAGTTGTACTTTTAACAACTGTATAAAATAAAATTGAACCCTAATCATTAAAATTATTTTCCCAACAAGAAAATCATTCTTTTAATACGATAAAAAATAACTACTACTTCTGTTATGTTCAGAGAAATGAAATAAGATTAAAAAATATGCTGATTAATATGATGTTTAGCAGTACTCACTGTATTTAAAAACAAAAGGTTAAATGATGGCATTAGCAAGAGTATCCTAAAACCTCTGGATATAATTTTGGTATGCACATAATATTTGTGTCATTTTAGACTTGCTAATAAAGAACTGCATTTAAGCATTAAAACATTTATTAGCTAGATTTGTATAATTATTTATTTTGCTTTTTGTTTTCATAAATTGCCATTCATCAAGATGGTATTTTGATTATTAAAGAGTATAAGAAAATAAATTATTTTAAATAACAAGTTAATTATATTAAGTAACAAAAAATTTAAGCTCACTAAGTTAAGTTATTTAAGCATGCTGCTCACTAAGTTAATGACAATTTATTAGATTGATTAGTTTTGTCTGATTTATTACTAAAGCAGTATTACATAGTGCTAGCTAAATATTTAGCTTTTGAAAGGTTTTTTTTTTGGGGGGGGGGTAACAGCAATGCTGTTGGGAAATATTTTCAGAGATAAATAATCGCAGTGGCATCTTATTCTTGTATTCCTACATTTTATATCACTTTCTTCTTATCTTACATTATATTTGTGAGGATTTTTTTGTTCATTAATATAATAGGGGGACCGGAAAGTAATGTCGCTTTTTTACATTAATTTCAAACGAATAAATTTGTAAGAAGGTTTTATTTTTAATCAATAATATAATCATCCTCGTTATTAGCAACCTTTTACCATATAGTATGCAGGTTTCAATCCCAGACCGATAAAAATCAATTAGTTTTAGAATAAAATATCTCGAGATGGCATTTTGGACATCATCCAAATTTTCAAATTTTTTGTCACTAAGAAAATGTTTAAGGGATCGGAATAAATGGAAATCCAAGGGTGCGATATCGGGTGAATATGGTGGGTGAGGCAGTACCTCCCACCCCAATTCATTATATTTTTCCACTGTTCGTCTTGCACAGTGCGGTCTTGCATTGTCGTGTTGCAGAATGACGTCTTTTCCGTTGACAATCGCCAGATATTTTCGATTAAAGATTGGTTCACTAGATACAATTGCTCACAATAAAGGTCTGCATTAACAGTTTTTCAAGGTTTCAGCAACTCAAAATAAACGATTCCGCGAATACTCTACCAAACACCCAGAAGTGCCTTTTCAGGATGTAAACCCTTTTAACCCCTATTAAAACTGCCTTTTGAGTTTTGGATTATCATATAGGACTTATTTTTTTGTCTCCACTAATCAAATGATCAAAAAATGGTTCTGTATGGTGCTGTTGAAGCAATATGTTGCATGTGATGGATAGGTTGGCTTTGTTCTTTTCGGACAGATTATGGGGGACTCAAACACCTGCTTTGCTTATTTTTCCATTCTGCTTTAAATGTTTTTGGATGGTCGACCAAGGTTGGTTAAGATTATTTTGACATGGATTTGCTTCCACTTCTGCTTCAGCATGTTGTTGTCAACGTGCACAGAAATGACATTACTTTCCAGTCCTCCTATTATATAATAAATTCTCCTAATACTTGCTTACAACCAAAACATTTCTTACTTGTTTTTCAGCCTGCATAATTTAAAATTTTCTCCTGTAATTTCACAGAACAGTTTCAATAGCTTCCACACTTCGCCCCCCCCAAAAAAAAAGACATATACCTTTTCTAAAAGACATATACCTTTTCTAAGCAGTGAAGACCTTTTCTGTTTCACACTAAAGGATAGATTGTAATGCAAGGAAGTATTGCAGGTTCTCATGAAATATGTTGAAAGCAAGGCTCTCTCTGTCATAAATTTAAAAAACTCTTAGATTCCAACTTCAATAAACCCAGAAAAAAACCTTTTTCATATAACATAATTTTCGTCATAGCAGTATTAATAAAATAAAACATAACATTCATAAATATTTTAACTGTAATCAAATTGTTATTTAATTGTAATCAAAATTTTCATCCCATTCAGTTCTGTTCATGTTAATTTTTTGAAATTCTTCTTTCCATTTTTCAAACGTTCTTTATCTTTTATGACAATTCCTTCCTTTTCTTGACTTTTTTTACCAGTTCTAATTTAGGTTCCTATGATGTGTGACACACACACACAAAAGCTTGAAGACAAAGTGGAGATGGCAACAACTGTTCTGGTGACGTCATGCCATACACCTCCTCTATCCATACATCCAGTTTCGACTTAACTGATCACACCAGTGGGGAATACTGCGTCATTGAGTGAACACGTGCAACTGCATTCTGTTAGGAAAATAATATAAAAACCAAACAGCCAATCAACATCAAGTTTCTTGTGAATCTTAAGAAATCAGCTGCAAAGGAAACATTTAAAATGTTAACCAAGGCTTATGGAGATGAAACTTTGTCTTATGCATGTGTGTTTGAATGGCATAAGCGTTTTTCAGGTGAAAGGGACAGGGACGATGATGAACGTGCTGGGCACCCTTGGGTGCCCAGTACATTCGTCATGATTGAATGGCTTCTCAGTGGTCAGACTGTTCATCAGTACTACTACATTGAAGTACTAAAAAGACTTCGTGAAAAAATTAGGGAAAAAAAGGCCACAGTTGTGGAGTGATGGATTGCTGTTGCACCAGGACAATGCACTCGCTCACACGGCCCTGTCTGTCAAACAGTTTCTGACCAGCAAAAACATTATTGTGATGGGGAATCCTCCTTATTCACATGATTTGGCTTCATGCGACTTTTTTTATTTCCTAAAGTTAAATCTTACTTAAAGGGAACCCATTTTACCTCAGCTTAAGAGGTTCAGGCAAAAATGGAAAATCTCCTAAAGGGACTTCCAAAAACATCATTCCAGAACTGTTACCGGCAAAGGCAGCACCGAATACAGAAGTGTGGGAATGCTCAGGGAACTACTTTGAAGGTGATAATGTCACGGAGAACTAATTCTGCAAGTACAACGCTGTTGGAGCGAGACGGCTCCCGACCTAATGCAACCTCGAGGGTGCCAAACAGGATTAATACCTTCCCGCCCTTGTATCAATCTCCATCCTTGGATCATCCCCACAGAACAAGGGTGGACACGACAGTACCAGTATGGTCCCTGCCAAGTCTTAGTGGTTTATTGGACCAGTCTCTCTCTCTTTTTTTGGGGGGGGGGGGGGGGGGTCACACTTTGTATGTATAGCAATTTTGATCATATCTGTTTATTTCCTGCTTTGCTATTAGCTGATCTTTTAAAATTTCTGGTTTAAATGAGTTTGATGCTTTTGTTTTTATATTTGGTTTTTCTGGGAGCAGATTATTTCTATGCTACCTGAAAAATTGCATAAAAATAGACAAAAAAGAAAGTTAGATGAAATGGTGGTAAAATTGGATAAAATCTCATATTTCAAATTATTGAAGATCATCTCTTCATCATCTGAATCTTACTTTAAGCAAAATTATCTCCATTTATCCTAGGTCTAATTTGTCTTCAGAAATAGGGTAAGGGAACTGTATTGTAAATGGAAAACTGAGGATGGCGATTTGATACAATCATGTACCATTACTATGAAGAATATTGAGACTGGCAATAACTCCACCAGGGTATTTAAATGCACAATTCAACAAAAAAAAAAAAAAAAAAAAAAAAAAAAAAAAATTAAACAGTCATTTTTAAGCTTGCTTTCACTGTCACTAAGAGATGTTGAATTTAATAAGGCCATACAAAGACCTCTCAAATACATCTACTCATAAGTTTACAATTTATTGCACTGTTTGGATCAATATGAACATGTTTGAATATAGTAATGATTTATTTTATGAAAAAAATAATAGTATTTTTATACTCAGTTGAAACCATTGAACAAAATAAGTGCAATCTGAAATTCTCAAATTCAGCATTCAGGCAGCTTATTTTTTCCAGTACCGAAACAGCAACATATGCTTAGTTTTTTTGGTGATCATAGTATTGCAAATATTCCCTCTACCATCCATTTTATGGATTTTGGATTAAGACTGAAAATAAAGAACTAATACATCTCATTGCTCAATAATAATTTTTATAACATTGTCATAGGAATATGTAATATGTTCACTCTAATTCAGGGATTTTAAGCTTAGCAGTATTTACAACATCTTGAACATGTTTAATCTTTTACTACTACGAGAAAAATTATGAGAGATATCTTATATAGATATTTCTAAGTATTATGGTTGTACCTTTACTGAATGACTAGCACATAATGCAAAAAGAAAGGCAAACACAACCAACCTATGATAAATACTGACGAAATCCTTTTTTTAGCAATGCTTGAAACTCGCTTTTAAAACTTACTATAGTGGCATAATTATCACTTCCATAGTCAACAGATTATGTATTGAGATGTTTTTTCTACAAAATGGTCTTTTAAAACTTTATAAAGCCCGTCCAAAGTAAAATTTTAAACACA